GACCATGTCTGGCTTAAACGGGTATCGAACCCGTGACCCTTGAATTACAAATCCAATTCTCTACCAACTGAGCTAACGCGGTTCCTGAAAGACGACAAAATGTGAAGATATTTAATGACTGAGTAGGAAATAAAGAGCAACATTTTGCATGTATATTATATTGTTGTTGGGGGTTGTTGTTGTTGTAGGGTTTAACGCCATTTCTCAGCACATGATAGGCTATACATGGCGGCCAGTATTAATGGTGGAGAAAGAACCCTGGAAAATCCCGGGAAGAACCATCGACCCACGAGAAGCTACTGGCAGGCTTTCTCACTTACCCTCGTTAATCGAGTCTGTTCTCGAACTCTAGCAGACAGAGGTGAGATGGCAGTGATCCGTAACGATCAGCGCTTTAGACGAGTGGTCCCCATCCCCCAGGCGACAGACCGGTACCGGTCCGTGGATCAAATGATACCGGGCCACCCAAGGTACATTAAATTATTTCCATTTTATTTACTGTTGCGTATTTCTCTTGGGTTTATATTCACTTTATATTAATTTATATTTATATTTATTTATATTCATTTTTGGTGTAACTGTATTTTATTTTGAAGGCATGTTTAAATACAATTAAATTAAAATCATTAAATCAGAACAATTTAAGATATAAACAATCAATGACGTACCCCCTCAGCGGGCCGCGGTAAAATTATCAAACGTTGACCGGTCCGCGGCGACTAAAAGGTTAGGGACCACTGCTTTAGACCACTTGGACACTCGGAGCCCCTTATTATATTGTAATTTTAAATAAATAAAAAATTAATTTTACATAAATTTATGGAAAACGAACGATTATCAATTTTTGTTCTTACTTTCGCAACTTGTCATAAGAGCGTAAGATTAGAAAACAATCCAATTTAAAACACTTGAGGTGATATTAATGTCGGTAGCGTGTAATTTATGCTGAAGAAGATATCAGATGGATATACTATATATTTTTTGAAAGACATCTTTTTGAGAAAATCATTATTTGAATAGCGATAAATCATTTTTCGCAAAGTTGAAAAAACACTAACATCATAGTCTCTCTCTCTCTCTCTCTCTCTCTCTCTCTTGTGTGTGTGTGTGTCTGTGTGATTGTGTGTGTGTCTTGAGTATGGATCTTGTTTTATTCTAGGTTGTAGTAAAGGAGATGAACCGACTCGGAATGCTGATAGATCTGTCCCATGTTGCCAAAAAGACGATGATCGACGCCCTGAACGTCACCAAGGCACCGGTTATATTTAGCCACTCATCTGCTTATTCCGTCTGCAATCACTATAGAAACGTACAAGATGATGTACTCGAGATGGTGGTCTGTATATTTTTTCTTCAGGCTTATGACAACTGTTTTGGACAGGAAAAGAGTGATTTGTATAGTATTGCTTTGTTATTTTAGTGTTTCGTTTGTTGTTTGGGTTTCGTTTGGGGAGTGTTTCGGTTTGATGTTGTGGGCTGATAGGTAGGTGTTTGTTTATATTAGAGCAAACTATGCAAGGATACAACGCTTTATAAAATATTCGAGAAAAAGACCTTATTCGTCGCCACCTTTGATTAAAGACCTTGTTTTTTAGCAAGCTAGTATGTTCCTTAATGTGGGAAGCCTTCATTCTACCCTTCGTATTGTGAACTCCTTCAGTGAAAGTCTCGAACAATCTGTCATGATTTGAGTCCTTTATAAAATAATTATTTATAGAGAATTGTGAAGTAGAAGGCAAAACAACTCGATACCCTACTGTGCAAGAGCAATCGTGTTCGAGACTATCTCCCCAAATAGTTTTCATGAAAATTCCATGAGAGGTAATATCAAGCCAAACATTAGCTGTCATTGTTGTTCTTCCTACTTGCTTTTTTTAATCATATATTTGCCCCACAAGGTTAACACAATCACTCCTATATAATTCAAAGGAGTTGATAGCGAAAAATACTATTCATTATGTTTTAAAATTATATATCTTCAGCGGAGAAACGGTGGTGTAGTCATGGTGAATTTTTACCCTTACTTTGTAAATTGCGACCCAAAGGCTGAAGGCAATGCAACACTATTACAAGTGGCAGGTAAGTTTGGAATTGTACAAATTCTTTTGGTTTCTATTTTGTATACTATGATAAGCGTCTTCAAAATGTGCTTACATTAGAATATTTTCGGAAATAAAGCCTTCAAGGTTGAAAAAGTATCGTCCTAAAATTTGCGTGCATTACAATATTCTCGGAGAAAAAAAAATTGTCAGTGTTGAAAGAGCAATTAAAAGGAATATCTTGTACAGAAATGAATTGTTAACTTTATCAATTTTTTAGACTGCTGTGTAAACTCCTTTATCTTTTTACATACTTATATTTTTCGGTTCGACTTAAGGTGTGAAGCTGCTACTATAACATTAATGCAAATGATTTTTGTTATATATTTTTCTCCGTTTTCTTTACAATGTTAAATATTCTATATCCTGTTCTTAAAGAAAATTAAAATCTACATACAAGAGCGCTCCTAATCCACCCACCTACCTCCTCTCTCTCTCTCTCCCTCTCTCTCTCTCTCTCTCTCTCTCTCTCTCTCTCTCTCTCTCTCTCTCTCTCTCTCTCTCTCTCTCTCACACACACACACAAACACACAATAATTTTCTTTTAGCTTCATGAATTCTATTTCAGATCATATTCAATACATAAAGAGTAAGATTGGTGTGGATTATATTGGTATTGGCAGTGATTTCGATGGAATTGAAATGTAAGAAGCAATGTACATGTATGTTACATGTATGTATATTTGATTGCTTAACTTCACATGTATATTTTTATGTTACAAATCCCTTCTTAATTCATTCACTTTGATTATGTTTATGCATCGATGAACAGAAAACATAAACGGCATTTCAACACAATATTTTGCATGTGTACTCTCTTTCAGTAAACATAACAGTTCTATGCATATAGATGGTTGGAATCAATTATCATTTTTTAATAGGCCTACTTGTTTACTTTAATCCTCTTTGTGCATAGTTGACACATTGGGCGTCCAACGCAGCCCTCCAGCTGTCCCTGTCCTGTGCAAGTTTCTTTGCTTTTCCCCACCATAGTTTCACGGCTTTTAGCTCGGCATCGAGTGTTCTTCTCCATGTCTTGGCAGGGCGTCCTCTATTTCTCTTCCCTTTTCTAATCCTACTATGTTGCCATAATTTCGACAGGCAAGGAAGGGAAATGTCTTGTATCTCGGATAAGAATTACCAGTCCTATATCGTTCTTTGTATTATAATGCCCATTTCGTTCGTCATCTTGTGTACAACTTCTGTCAGAAAACTCCCGCATGATTTTATAATAACTCTTAAGGGAACAAAATTGGAAGGAGATATATCCTATTGCCATTTAGTGTTCGTGAAATCGTTCCTTCCTTCGTTATGCCCTTAATATATTGTATGCTATTTCAGTTACATCCAAGAAAAATGGCACGTGGATGCATCTGAGGAAAAGCAACCTAGCGACTAAAACCTAATTTTCATTTCAATTTTAAAAAAAAATGGAACGTGCATGCATCTGGAAATTAATAACTTACCCGTACGAAAAATAGGTAATGTAACAAACATCGTACGTTTTAGTTCCCTTTTTTCAGTTATTACTTTGTTATATTCTCAATCGCTTTTACCCGATTTGACCTTTTTTCATACAAATTAGTATTCGTATTTGTCAAAAGATAAATAATTTAAACGGTTATTAAAGGAGGTTATTGTGACTTAATATTCATGTTTGATTGAATTTTGTAGCTTCTGTCGTTTATCCATTACACCTTCACCATTTTGGACACTGTTTCACCTGCATTTATGAAAGTTTATCTGACTATGCATTGTGATTGACAAAGTCAAGCCCAAAATTGATCATCTTGACATCTTTCACACATGAATGATTTTCTTTGTATTTTCAGCTAGGGGTATTTTCGTTACACCATAAATATTTTAGATCCTTTTTCATAGTCTGTATTTCAACCATGTCCAAGTTGTAACTTAAGTGACGTGCATTCTTTGTGCTACTTGTTCTTTACACCTTAATGCGTTTTGACTCAAGCTCACTTACACTTGTGAAAACTGGCATATGCAAAGATCTCTAGAACCATATCAAAATTAGTAAACTATGACCTACCTTTCACGTTTGATTGGCTTTTGTAATTTTAGTCATTCGTTCGTTACATCCTCGATATATTGGATCCTTTTTCATCTTCTTGCATATAAAACATGACGTGGATGCACCTTAAGGTAAACAACGACGCCTTATCAACGTCCAGGCTGCTGCGATCTAAGTTCAATGTATGAATCACTTTTGTACTTTCAAGTTTTTTTTCGCTCCATCATCATTGGCTTGGTTCTATTTCACCAATAAACATAAAAAGTGGCATATGCATGCATGTAGAGCGACTCAACTATATAAAACATAAATCACTATAACCCGAGGTTTACACTTGCCTGACGTTTGTTCGCAATGTTTGGACTCTATACTTATGAAACTTTGTATCTTAATGCATATCATGACCAGCATACCTTATTTCTTATGGTATGCAGCATACCGTAGTTCACATGGTATCCAGCATACCTTATTTCACATGGTATCCAGCATACCTTATTTCACATGGTATCCAGCATACCTTATTTCACATGGTATCCGGCATACCTTAGTTCACATGGTATCCAGCATGCCTTAGTTCACATGGTATCCGGCACACCTAAGTTCACATGGTATCCGGCACACCTTATTTCACATGGTATCCAGCATACCTTATTTCACATGGTATCCAGCATACCTTTTTTCACATGGTATCCAGCATACCTTTTTTCACATGGTATCCGGCATACCTTAGTTCACATGGTATCCAGCATACCTTTTTTCCAATGGTATCCGGCATACCTAAGTTCACATGGTATCAGGCATACCTTATTTCAGATGGTATCCAGCATACCTTATTTCATACTTATTTCACATGGTATCCAGCATACTCTATTTCATACTTATTTCACATGGTATCCAGCATACCTTATTTCACATGGTATCAAGCATACCTTTTTCACATGGTATCCGGCATAC